CCAGACTCACCTGCACCGACAGACCCAGACTCACCTGCACCGACAGACCCAGACTCACCTGCACGACAGACCCAGACTCACCTGCACCGACAGACCCAGACTCACCTGCACCGACAGACCCAGACTCACCTGCACCGACAGACCCAGACTCACCTGCACCGACAAAGGCAGGAGGAGAATTATCGCTGATATTAAGTTAAGATCCAAAATATATTATTTACAGAATTCCAAGCACTTTTACTGTCACCACAGACTGTGTAGGTCAGCCCCAGGTCGATGTTCACACCACATCCTGAGAGGAGCCGCTCCAGAGAGAGAGAGGAGCCGCTCCAGAGAGAGAGAGGAGCCGCTCCAGAGAGAGAGAGGAGCCGCTCCAGAGAGAGAGAGAGGAGCCGCTCCAGAGAGAGAGAGGAGCCGCTCCAGAGAGAGAGAGAGGAGCCGCTCCAGAGAGAGAGAGAGAGAAGAGCCGCTCCAGAGAGAGAGAGGAGCCGCTCCAGAGAGAGAGAGGAGCCGCTCCAGAGAGAGAGAGGAGCCGCTCCAGAGAGAGAGAGAGCCGCTCCAGAGAGAGAGAGGAGCCGCTCCAGAGAGAGAGAGGAGCCGCTCTTAGACTTCCTGTTTGAAGCACTGTTGGAGCAGGCTACACACTTTAGATTTTCTGTGTTGTTGCTCACTTCTCAGAGACCACCACATCATGTTTTCTTAGATTTGTATTAGTCAAATAATAATTTCTGTGTACAATAGAGTGTAAAAAGTACAACATTGTCGCTAGGTAATGGTTTTACCTTGGAATTATTATGTGATGTCATGATTTCCAGTTAGAAATTATAGAAATTTCGCATGGGGGGGAGATCATTTTTTTGTGGGGAAAAAATGAAGTGTGAGTTGAAGCTGCAATCAAGAAAAGACATGGAACCTGAAACTAAATAAGAAATAAGTTGGTTAGAGTGTGCTTTATTTATGTGCTAAATTCAACAAAAAATATACAAATAATCAAATGAACTACAAATAAATTACAGTGAGAAAATGTCAGCTTGCTTAACATTTCCTTTAATGACTTTAGGGTCCTTAAGGGTTCTGCCCACAGAGCCAAACTCTTTTTTTGTTTTAATTGTTGTTACACACACTATGTCAGATAGTTGAGATGTAACATGTGGTCCTTTATTGGCCACATTACAAAAGGCTAAATGTCGTTGTTCATTGTCTGGATGGTTCCTTTATAGTGCTCCACATTTTCCCTCTAAAGCCACAGTATGTCAGTTAACATTCCACATGCGCCTCTTCAGATCTGAACTGAGGAACTGCGTAGACCACTGCCTCAGACTGACACTGGGGGGCACTGCTGAGGGATGGGCGCTCCTTCAGTTTAAACGTTACACTGGAGTATGTGATTTTACAGGAGTCTTCAGTCTGCACACAAACAAACAGAAAACACAATAGAGATTTTACTCCAAGATTAGTCTCCAACATTAGTCCTGGTTTTAGTCCAGACCCAGTTCTTGCTTAGACCTAGTTTAGCCTTACTTTCAGTGGTTACAGTTTTAGGTCATTTATTTTTAATACACAATCCACCACCACTTTTAAAGGTGCACTGTGTAACTTTTCTGGTAGTGGTGGGGGGGGTTGCCATGTGCTTATCTCCATGGTGATAGTATAGCTTTGCACTTATAAACTCAAGATAAATAATAATTAGGAAGTGAGGAATAACTCTGGAAATGTGTACGTTTTCAAGAAGGTGAAAAAAAAAAAAGTTAAACTCACCTCGATTGTTGGATCATGTTCACCCTCCTGTACTTCTGCAAGGTCTAGAATGAACACACAACTGTAAAATAAGGCATTTTACAGATTTTATTTCACAATTTTACAATTCTTTGGCTCACCTTTAGATTTCATGTTTCTCATTTTCCAGCAGAGAATGAAAAATATGAGTAAGCACAGGAACAGCACAGCCAGGATAAACACATATGGCACAGATCCTGACAACAAGAACAATTATTACTTTAGAATGTTTCTATTAAAAGTGTGTGTCAATTTTCACACACTGACACTTACATGAATAAAAAAAGTGTAATATTAAATGGTTTATATTATGCCATTTTCTAATTTATGTTCTAATGTTATTTCCTCATCACAAACATACCCGGAGTTGTGTTTGGTTTCATTCACACACATTGAACAGTTCTCCTCTCAAGCAGAAAACACCACCTTGTGATGTCATGCAGTAAAACAAGAAGTGCTCCACTGTGTTTTTAAACTCCATATTCTTTCCCTACAGTCAACTGATTTCAGCTCTGGTATTGCCCATCTCCACTGAACTAAAGGTAAAAAGTAGTTGTTAACTACTACTACTCTTGATGTCATATTGAGATTGAATAGAGCAATTTGAGTTTTGGAGATGTAGACAGATGAATAATAAAGAGTTACTCAAAAAGTGTGAATGAAACAAAACACAACTCTAGATCTGTTTTAGAGGAGGTTACAGCATTAAAGGGACAGTTCGGAATTTTGGACATAGGGCCTCATTTCCTAGTGAGCTAGAGTACTGTAGTTATGTGGAGACACTTTTTAAAATATTCCATCCAGTCCTTGTATTTGCAGAGGTCGCTGGTGCTAGGCTAGTGCAAGTCAATGGCCATAGTTATCCTGCTACTAAAAACACTCTTACCCACTCCACAGTGCACCTGAAGCAAATCTATTATTACGCCAGACTGTCCATGTGAATGTCTGTGTTGACAGAATACTTTTAGAAGTAAAACCAACCTTGCATTTGAAGGATTTATGTCTGAGCAGCAGCAGTGAGTTGTACTTCCTGATAGAAAGTTCGGCAGCGGCGGACTGATATCACAGAGCACCAACTGGCTCTGTAACAATTTGTTTACCTGCAGTTGCTATAGTGACACATAGAGCACATGAAGTAGCCTGTTCCAGATATGGCCACATTCATGTCATCACAACTAACTAGAGCAGAGTAAAACTTCGCTGCTGCTGAGAAAATAGTCACTCAATGTGTGACGATTCTTCAAGGTTAGTTTTACTTCTAAAATTATTCTACTTGCACAGATATTTACATGGACAGTCTGGCGTAATAATAGATTTGCTTCAGGTGCACTGTGGAGTGGGTAAGACTGTTTTTAGTAGCAGGCTAACTATGGCCATTGACTTGCACTAGCCTAGCACCATCAACCTCTCCAAATACAAGGACTAGATGGATTATTTCAAAAAGTGTCTCCACATATCTACAGTACTCTGGCTCACTAGGAAATGAGGCCCTATGTCCAAAATTCTGAACTGTCCCTTTAAAGCATGACTTAAAGCTTTTCTTTTAACACAGGTCCTTTAATTCTCAAAAGTACTGGTTGTTGTTGAATATTTCTGCTGTTGATGGTCAGATGGACTCGACATGGGTAATTCCTGTGTGGTACTCTGGTGTTCTGCTGCATTGTGCGGTTGTGTGGTTACAGTTGTTCTGAAAGCAGCAGCTGGAGATGAGGACGTTTGTGCTGCAAAAATAAATCATACGTCATTACAACATAACAGTAAAACTGATACAAATATTTAAAGCTCCACCATGTAACTTTATGGCATATATAATAAGCACAGAAAATCATGCGTCTGTTCACACTGTAGAATATGAGAATTTCATACTCCCAGATAGGGGCAGAGATGATAGATTACACTGCACTCTGACATAAAACAACCAAAATGTAAATGCACAAATGTTGAACCTGATCATTTCTGGGATTTTAGCTGCTCCTGTCTATGTTAAATAAAGTTGTCATAGACTAGTAGAATAATGTGAGGTTCTCTGAAATCCAACAGTACTGAAGGATTCTTTGAAATTCCACAGTATTGGTAGTTTTCTGATCAGGTTTTGTTTATCCAAAAGACACCACCTGATCAGTTCTGTAAAGTGAAAGTCACACCAAAACCTGATACAACAACATCCAAATGCAAATCTGCAATTTCAAAGGCCCATGCAGTATTAGACTGTTTTCTGTTCCATTCTGTTTTCTCATCACAAACACACCTGGAGTTTTGTTTCAGTCACACATGTTTAACACACAAACCTGCAGATTTAGGCTGAGTTCTTTTCTCACAAACAGAAAATACTCTATAAATACAGGAAGTGTTCCACTGTATTTTTTAAACTCCATACACCTTCACTAGAATCATTTGGAAAATTTCAACTCTGGAATTTTCAGTCTACACTGAACTAAAAGTAAGTAGAAGGTAACTGTTAACTGGAAAACTACTGCTTCACAAAGTGTGTAACTCAAACATGTGTGAATGAAACAAAACTCCAGGTCTGTTTGTGATGACAAAACTACATTAGAACATGGAACACAATTCTAAAATTACTAAACGCTCACAAGAATCAATTTTGAGGAACATAAGACCTTTAACAGTTTTCATTTTAGTCATCTGTATTAAATAATGTTGGTCTATAGACTGTTGTAATGTCATCTGAAGCCCAGCAATGATATATATATATATAATATAACACATATTTATCTCCATGGAGAATGTTTGGCTTTAACTTCTCTGGAACCGTTCAGGTGATGTAAAAATAATAATAAAAACTTACCAGGGGAGACCTCAATTTGAAATTGCACCATGGTTGAGTTTTTCTGCCCATAATCCAGACCACACTGGTACAGTCCTGCGTCTGATCTGTGCACATCTGTAATGTTCACAGACATATGCAAAAACCCTGATTGATGTTTCTCTTCAATACTGTATCTGCTGTTCTGCTGACGGGAGCCTGCAGTCTGAACCAGAATGTTTTCTTTTTTTTTTTTTGTCACAATCAGCTTTACAAAAGATTTTAGTATTTCCCAAATAATAAACCTGACATGTGACTGTTAAATTCTCTCCTTCAGTGACTTTGAAAAGAGTCGGTGATCTAATGAATCCATGTGGTCCAGCAAACAGCACTGTCAACACATGAACAAAAAGTGACCTCAACTCTGCTTTGTTCATTATATTTAGACAAAAATCTTTAATTATGCACTCACCAAAAAACTGCACAAAAACTGAAGCAGTTCTCATATTGTGTGGAGTTCCTCTCACCTTTATTTTCAGTGGCCAAAATAAGTTCTCTGTGAAAATGACACAACGTGTGTCTCCTCCCCTTTAGTTGGAAGGATGAAACCACAAACCACAAACTAGTGTTGTGCTCAGTTTCCTGTATTTTTTAATCGGGGTTAAAGAGGGTTGGCTCATGTTGCCTTCATGTGGCTAAACGAGCTGCTCTTTTCTCAACCTCATTTGCACCTCTCTTCTCAAACTGTTCTAGAAATAAAAATAAAGTTACACGTTGTCAGGTTTAAACCCACCTAAACATTGTAAAACAAGAAGAAAGACAAGAGATTAGAATCGTTTTCTCATGAGGAGAACGGACAGAGAGTGCATTCACCGTTACAGTCTCTACCCGCTCTGGTGCACTCTCTGCATCTCCTCTTTTTATTGTCTTAGGAGGGTCCCTAGTTACAATGGGTGTCTCCGCTCTCAGGGAGAGGGGCTGAAAACAGCGGAGACACCACACATGACAATATGTGTTATCAATAGCAGGTGCATATGTTTCGTTTAGCTTTCAGACACAGCTTTCTCTGTGCAGCCTCGTCTGCTCTCATGCTCAGAGGGCCTTGAAAGTTGTCTGCTCCCACATGACTGCAACCACACACGCTGTCTATGTGAGCACTCGTCTATAATCACACACAGGAAAGCACCTCACTGGTCTGCGAGCTCTCGAGGGTGGGCAAACCACACAGCAGTGAAGGGACGCAACAACACCACAACATTTTATTTATTCACTTTATTATTTTGACTTCACAGTTAAAAAAAAAAAAAAAAAAAAAAAAAAAAAAGGATGCAGAGGTTGAATTAGGCCAAGTGAGCCGGTGTTGGATCTGGGAAAAGAGATCGCCTCAATGTAGTTGAATACAAACACTTTATATTTTTTTAATTAATGAAGCGGAATCATGTGATTAATATTAACACCATTTATAATCACCTACAGAACATCAATCCAAGACTACAACACATGAACCAGGACTAAAACAGGACTGAACTAAGACTAAACCAGGACTAAAGTAGGACTAAACCTGGACTAAAACAGGACTAAACCAGGAATAAAACAGGACTAAACCAGGCCAGACCCAGGACTAAACCAGGACTAAACCAGGACTGAACCAGGAGTAAACCAGGACTAAAACAGGACTAAACCAGGACTACACCAGGACTATGCCAGGATTAAACTAGAACTAAACCAGGACTAAACCAGGACTGAACCTGAACTAAACCAGGACTAAAGCAGGACTACACCAGGACTAAACCAGGACTACGTAAACCAGGACTATGTAAACCAGGAATAAAACATGACTAAACCAGGACTGAACCAGGACTAAACTAGGACTAAGACAGGACTAAACCAGGACTAAACTAGGACTAAACCAGGACCGAACCAGGACTAAACTGTTTTTTCTATCTCATGTCGGGAGAAGTTGGTGGACGTGGTACTCCCACGTACCACGTCCACTCCAGCCCTGGTCTCATGTGGAAGTGTAGATTTGGTTTGGGTCCATGTTGTCCACACAGAGGCTCTGGTAAGTGCAGTCTGCACACTCCTTCACTGCAGCATCGCGCTCGTTTTCATACTATTCAAAACAACAAAGCAAATGAATAACACACGTAACACATCACATATATAGATCACCATGTTACCTGGAAACAACTTAGTAACATGTTTGGTAAGTTTCTTTTTCATTTTTTGGTGAATATTTAGAGAGAATTGTCATGTGGGAGCGTGGGTGATGTAGGCTTGTGGGCGGAGCTTTGCACAGAATTTTACAGGAGGATTTGAGTTGGGCCCAGGAGAGATTGTTAAAAGACTGAAACATGCATGAATGAATCTAAAACCTCTTCAGTCCTTTTCTTGAGGGAACAACATTATAACATGGTAAAAGTTCAAAAAATCAATTAAATGAAAACTATGTTCACCTTTTCATCGTCCTCTCTTGGATTAACTTTGGTTTTATCATCTGCTAAATACACAAGATTTCATAACACAAAACACTTTATTTCATGTCTTAACATGTAAATGTTCCCATATCATATTTATTTTTTCCATCCACTTTTCACTTGCCTTGTTCCACACTTTTCTTTCGGCGTACCATGATGAGCAGCACAGAGACCATCACCATGACGACGGGGACCAGCAGCAGCCACAGCAGATGGGTTTGACGCCCTTCAAAAGTTTGCAAACACTGAACACATAATACAAGCTAAATAAAGCTAATCATAAGGTCATCAGCACCAAAAAGAAATACTTGAAAATTCAAGGGAGGTTTTAGCAAAATAATAACCACTCAGATACATGTAAGAAATATAGAGTAGTGTAGAAGTATTTTCGATGATGGCAGAATCCTTTTGATGTTTTACTGGACAAATATTTACAGAAATGTTGACCCAATAATGTTTTTTCATTCGCTCTGTTACACCATTCACCATGAATAATATTTTTGTGGAGCTCAAATGCAATTTTGAAATAATAATAATTAAAATAGCATTTTCTAATTTGTTGTAATAAAAAGGCAAAAAGTGATATTTCTAAAATGGATTTATTTATCTTTTTTTGTTTGTTTGTCTTTGGTTTATAATACTTCAGTGAGTGTGTTTACATGCACATGTGTATCCTGGTTATTAGTCATATCTCAGTTATTGCAGTATTAAGGATTGTGGTGGACACCTCTGCCACCACTCCATAGTGTCAGTATTATTTCATTTCATTTCATTTACATTAAGTTAATTGGGTAGTGGTAACGGAGGGAAACAGGGGCAGATTTTTGACATTCAAATGTCTCTTATTCAGAAACTAGAGGGACTATTGAAATAAGTAAAGTATCAGAATGTAGGAAAGAGTTACACTCCAACAGGGTCAAGTTAAACCTGTGATATTCTTTCAAGATGTTGACAAAAAATTCATTCAAATTAAAAAACTCATGTTGGTAACGGAGGGAATGAAATATGCAGCACTTTTTGGGCAATAAATCCAAACAGTGATAACTCTTGGTTCTCACTTCCATATCCTTAACAAACTGGTTTGAATATTTGCTTCATATAGTTTTCTACCATATGGTACAAGATTAGGTTGAAAAACCTCTGACTTTTTGAGTCATGAGATTTTTTATTAAGAAAGGTCATGGTAACGGAGGGAAAAGTAACGGAGGGAAAATTGTACAAACAAGTAGAAGGTGCAGGATTTTACATCATTTGTCAACTTTTTTCTTCCCAATACTTTAATATTACTTCAAAATGAAAGGAAACTATTTCTATAAAATATGTCAGTCCTGTTTTTTATCATTTTAAATACTTTTTAATTTTTTTTAAAATCATGTACCTTCATCAACAGTTCAAAGATGGAATAACACAAGATACGATGAAATACATCCATTTATTGACATGATTTGCAGGTCTTTGAAAATTGGGAAATAATTTTTGTTCCATGTTTCATACATGGTCTGTTTAAAACATATGGAACTTTAGAACCAAAAATGGTACAGAAAAAAGGTCAACAGTTTCATAAACTAGAGTACATATGTATCTGTTCAATACATTTTTATATCAGATGCATTAACTTGAATTTTTGGCCTTGTTGTTTACTTCTGCTTGACTGGGCCCAAATGCACAAGCGCAAAAATTATATTCTTAATAAACCATGAAAAATACAAACAACCATGAGCTCCTTTAGCAGAGGAAGCTCAGGAGGTTCCGAAGCAGAGGTCAGGAGCTATGAGATATCCCACAATCCACTGCACAAAAGAAACCAAACGTTTCCAAACACACTGCAGCAAATTCTTCATTAAAATCTTCTGCATAAATAAACTCAACTTTACAACATATAAACCATAAGCACTATAGAGCCACATCACCCGTTTGATCATACAATACAGCTTTGTGCACATTTGTTTACATTTTACAGAAACAAAACTGAAAAGTGCTTAAAAACTTACTCTAGATACTGAAACTGGGATACTGCACCATGATGAAACCAGGATACTCAAAAAATCATAACCGGGACACTGATGATACATTTTTCATCCTCGTGCCTTCATTCCAGAATTTTGCATGAACATTACATCTTTTGAATGTCCTCAAATTGTTAACTGCTTGTGCTTTTTACATAACTTTTGTTTGATTAAGGCCGTGATGAGCTGCTCTGTTTTTAGAGAGCGCTCACCACTTTTGCCACCGTACCAAAATTAGAACTATTGCCTAGTTTGACAGCTTCCTGTAAACTTGACTTGTTCTCATCACTATTATATTGTCATATATTCTAATAGCCAAGTTAGGTTAGGTTTAACTCTTAGTTTTAATTGTTATTTTGCTTTAGTTTTGATTGCATATGTTTTATTATCCTGCTGTTTTTATACTTAAATATACTACTGGGCCCAGTCAAGCAGAAGTAAACAGCAAGGCCAAAAATTCAAGTTAATGCATCTGATATAAAAATGTATTGAACAGATACATATGTACTCTAGTTTATGAAACTGTTGACCTTTTTTCTGTACCATTTTTGGTTCTAAAGTTCCATATGTTTTAAACAGACCATGTATGAAACATGGAACAAAAATTATTTCCCAAATTTCAAAGACCTGCAAATCATGTAAATAAATGGATGTATTTCATCATATCTTGTGTTATTCCATCTTTGAACTGTTGATGAAGGGACAGGATTTTTCAGAAAAAAGTATTTAAAATGATAAAAATTTGCTTGGAAGGACTGACATATTTATAGAAATAGTTTCTTTCATTTTGAAGTAATATTAAAGTATTCAGAAGAAAAAAGTTGACAAATGATGTAAAATCATGCACCTTCTACTTGTTTGCACAATTTTCCCTCCGTTACCATGACCTTTCTTAATAAAAAATCTCATTACTCAAAAAGTCAGAGGTTTTTCAACCTAATCTTGTACCATATGGTAGAAAACTATATGAAGCAAATATTCAAACCAGTTTGTTAAGGATATGGAAGTGAGAACCAAGAGTTATCACTGTTTGGATTTATTGCCCAAAAAGTGCTGCAAATTTCATTCCCTTCGTTATCGACATGAGTTTTTTAATTTTTTTGTGAACAACTTGAAAGAATATCACAGGTTTAACTTGACCCTGTTGGAGTGTAACTCTTTCCTACATTCTGATACTTTACTTATTTCAATAGTCCCTCTAGTTTCTGAATAAGAGACATTTGAATGTGAAAAATCTGCCCCTGTTTCCCTCCGTTACCACTTGACCAGACCCTATTACAACTGCTACTTCTACTACTCGTACTACTACTTGTACTGCTGCTGCTGCTGGTGCTACTCATACTCCTAATAATAACAAAATACATAAAAAACAAACATACTCGTTGTTGGTGGAGTTTGTGGCCCTAGATGGTCTGATGGAGTAGAGGTGGTCGGGTGTGTGCTCTGGTATTCTGATGCAGTAATAAAACTGTATGATAGCAGTTCTTCTGAAAGTTAAAAGTTGGATATAAGAAAGTCAGGACAGCAAAAATATTTCAGTAAAAATTGGAGTTACCAAAGGAGACCTCGATTTGAAATTCCACCATGTTTGAGTTTCTCTGCCCATATTCCAGCCCACACTTGTAGAGTCCTGCGTCCGATCTGTGCACATCTGTAATGCTCACAGACATATCGTATATATTTGATGAAACACGTTTATATTGAATACTGTATCTGCCGTTCTGCTGACTGGAGCCTGCACTCTGAACCAGAATGTTTTCTTCTTTGTCACAGTCAATTTTACAAAAGATTTGAGTTTTTCCAAAATAATAAACCAGACATGTGACTGTAAAGTTCTCTCCTTCAGAGGCTTTGAAAAGACTCTGTGATCTAATGAATCCATATGGTCCAGCAAACAACACTGTCAACACAGAAACAAAAAGTGACTACAACTCAGTGAAAAATATACTCCGTGCAATACATTTAGACAACAGTATTTTGATTATGTACTCACCAGAAATGAGTGTAAATATTGAACTGAATCTCATGATGTCTGTAGTCTCACTCAGGTTTATTTTCAGTACGTAACCACTGTTATACTAACACAGCTCTCCTCCCCTTTTGTGTCAATGTGTCAAACCACACATCATGCTCATGTGCTGTTCTTTGTATCCGGCAAAGCCATTACTGTGTCAAATATTCATCTCAAAACACTGGGTTAAAGGTCTGAGACCGAGACAAGACCAAGACTTTTAAAGGCCGAGACCCAGACAAGACTGAGACCACAGGCCATTGAGACCAAATCAACACTATCTTTGTCATTTCCTACATTTATTTGTATTTTACAGTTATTGTAGGGGTGAAGGTTCTATGCTTCAGGTCTCTTTCCTGTCATTCCAAGGTGCTGAGCTGGTGGACTATGTCAGTGCTTCCTTCTCAGTCGCCCCCCTTTTTGCCCACACTCTTCTGGGCCTCTCTTGGCGGCCGCTCTGTCCTTCAACTCAGTGCCGCTGTTTGGCTGGTGCTCGGCACCGCATCAGTCCCTCTCTCTATTGTATTACGTAGCATGAAGTGTGCACTTTCATCTCTCCTGACAGTTGCACGTGTGGGCCAAGTCAGTCCCTCGCTCTGTTGAGCTTTGCTGTGCGTCGCTGTGTTCCCTAAATCGTGGCAACAACGTGTTGCATGACTGGCAGCTCACAAAGGTGCCGTGTGTCGGTCTGCGTTGTTTGGACCACATCTGGAGGCAGCAGTGTAAAGTTGTCTTCTGTGATTCAGTGTGGGACTGTGCACTTTTACTTCCAACCGTGGTGTCAGTGGTGGTCTGCAGTGGCTTGAGCACAGCACCTCTGCTGTTTTTGATCTGTTCTCATCTCCCTATTTTGCACATTTGCAATTTGTCTATGTTTGGTGTTTCCTCCACTGTCTTGTTTTACTGTTTTTATTAATTGGAGCTATTTTTAAGGAACTTCAACTTGTGTTTCTTTTAAAATAGAAAAAATAAATATTGTGTAAATGATTCAATCTGGCTCTCTCCCTCTCATTGATATGTTTACCTGGCTGTGTGCCTTATATTTAGACTCTGTTTCCCCAAACTAGATTTGGAGTGATGTGTTTTTTTTAAACATGAGTTTCAAATTCCATCCATCATAGCTCCTGGGATCATTCGGGCGCACAAACCCCTCCACCACATTAAGGTGGAGGTTCAAGGAGAGGAGGGGAGGTCCAAATCCATTTGACCAAAACGTTGACATTCTACTTAAATGACAATTGATAGTTGTAGCTATAAAATACTACAACTTAAATGTCAAACCAGAGCTACTGGTAATGGTGAAAACAACCTGCACAGACTCATGATATCTGCACTACTGTCCTAAAGTGACTTGAGACATGAGGGACCAGGACTGAACCAGGACTGAACCAGGACTGAACCAGGACTGAACCAGGACTGAACCGGGACTGAACCGGGACTGAACCGGGACTGAACCAGGACTAATTCAGGACTAAACCAGAACTCAACCAGGACTCAATGTCGGGATGGGCCCAGAGGTGAGAGACTGTCAGGTGACTGCAGGTGAAAGGACCGGCACAGAGCTCCCCGTCCATGGGGCGAAGTGCAGCCATGGCTCGATTATGCTTTGCAGACACCCTGCTCCACAAGTTCGGGGTTCTCCCTCTCTCTCTCTCAAGTCCAACATTAGTCCTGGTTTAGACCTGGTTTAAACAACACTACAATAAACAAGACAGAAAATTAAACCAAAATCAAAGTATGCAAAATGAAAATGTTGCACACATTGCACACTGACTGATGATACAAGAAATGAAAAAGTGCCATGCTCCCTTCACTTCCATCCTTCATTTTCCTCTTCAGAAATATTCAATGCACCTTCTTCTTGAATATCGTCCATGACGACCTCGATCTGTGGCTCGGCACCAGCCTCATCCAAGTTGATCCAAAACAGACTGATGGTTCTGTACAATAACTGTACATTCTATAGAGGAAATGTGCACTTTACATTTCCAGCACTTTTTTTTTCTCGCATTTCTTTTTTTTCTCTATCAATCTGATTTTACTCAGTAAGGAGGGTGTGTTCCAATGTCATGAAGTAACATTTATTTCAAAAACTACTTAAAAAATTACAAATTATTCATAAAAAACTACTCAATTACAGTAATGGGAGGAAATGTAATTTGTTACTTTCCACCCTTGTCTGTGGGTATTTTTGCCCTTCAGCCTGTACAGTAGTAAAAGTGTAATGACATGAGCTACATTCAGATTACTCCCCTCCAATATCCATAATACACCAGGATTTTGACAAGATTTGACAATTCTAGCCTAATAAATGTCCATTAAATCACTTGGTCTCGGATGGAAGTGTAGGTTTGGTTTGGGTCCATGTTGTCCACACAGAGGCTCTGGTAAGTGCAGTCTGCACACTCCTTCACTGCAGCAAGACGCTCGTTTTCACACTATTCAAAACAACAAAGCAAATGAATGACATATTATAACTGGATATAGATTTGTAAAGACGGTGTATCACACTTGTGTGTGTGATTAACTGTAACACATCACAGATTTACATCACCAATATTAACTTTTAGTGTTCTGAAAATGCTATAATCGCCTAAAACTGTGTCACTCCCCCTTCAGAGCAGCATCACATTAGAGTCAGTGTACGTCCCACTGCCAGTGGTGGCTGGTGATGTAAACACAGGGAGTTTTTTTTTTTTTTTCCTCCATAAAAGGCAACTACTAATACTACAATATTCATGAGATATTATTGTAACAAGAAACACTCACTGAGGGAAGACCGAAAAAGAATCTGTGAAGGCCACAGTGTTTGTCACACATTCTGCAATAGCCCCATGGTGATCGGTTTATTTACATAACAGGGGACAGGTTATTATCAATACTTTTGGGACGTACTTTTGGATATACTTTTATTTTACTCCTAAAGGCTGAATGAGTCCATTTTGGACCAGCCGCCACTGATTTATTGTGCAATTTAGACATGTTTAGATTTTTGTTAAAGACACGTCACTGCACCATCAAGCAGGTAAACAAACTCCTGTCTGACTAAAAGAATCACTAATTCTTGTGCGTGTCCTTTGTCTGCAGGTTAAAACACTGACAACCTAGAACTAAAAGTGGAATAGCACAGGCTGCATACAGTTCCTTTAAGGCATGACGCCCACACTTTTTCAACATGCCAGCTACTTATAAAATGACCAAGTCAAAATGATCTACCTACTACAAAGCCAAGCAAACTGTGCTGCACTGAAACACTCTGTGTCCCTTTTGTGGACCCTCACCCACAGTTTGAGAACCCTTCTTTAATTTCCACTGGCACTTTCCACAAAACTGTGAAAAACGATGATGATTTTAAACCTGTTTTTCATGTTCCTGACTGGAGTTACATTCTTTTACTGGTTTTGCAGTGAGATTTAGCCTCTGCACATTTATCCAACCAAACACACATCGTGACAAACACATTTGCATTTGTGCACTTTTATTATGTAAACTTCAACCACATGTCGCGGTAGGTCTGTTCTGTGCTGTAGATCTGCTTTGTGCCAACACTGTAACATAAATTTAGATTCGTTTTTGCTTCACATTTCATCCTGCTCTTCTAATCAGTGCATTGAGGAGGAGCCTGTGTGCGCTGTACACGGGCAAGCCGCACGCCAGGAGTGTGTGTGTGTTTGTGATGTGCCTCACAGTATCTATAGGCTCCAAATGAGCACACAGGCTGCAGAGAAACGCCCTGCACGCTCCTGCACACTGGTACTGGTATTTATTGCCGACAGCAGCGACCATAATGAAATATGATTGTTGAGTGTCAGATCTGGAGCGAGAGACAAGACCAAGTCCAAACACAATCAAGTCCAAGACGAGTACTACGACACTCTACCCACACTAAACTGGGGATCGACTGGTAGATCCGATTGACATATTCACTGCCCCTGCTGTGAGGCGTATTTCATTTTTATTTTAGAGAAAAGTACTGCACATGGTTGGCAATCTCTGTATTGGCTCACCTCTGGAGTTTCACAGTCATCAGCAGCAGTTGGATCTTCTGTAAAATTTTCACAAGTGTAAAATGAACCAGATGGATAAAAAAGTGCATTATTTTCATTGGAGTGTGGCTCACCTGTTGGTCTATTGGTTTTCCTTTTCCAGCACCAAATCAAAATACTCCCTGATACAATAATCAGAATGGTGGTTACACTCACAGCAACATACTGCAGCACAACTGAAAGAGACGTGTTCAGAAGTGTCAGTGAAACTCAAATCATGCAGATGTAATTCTGAACATCATTTTTCAGAAGCTACCAGACAGTGTGGATGAGTTGTGCTCCTCCTGAGGTTGCTGTGAGCTCGTCACTTCAGATGCTTCTTGTGTCCTTTGTGTCGTCTGTGCTGGTGTCACATTATGGAGGGATGTGGTGGGAGCAGCTCCGAGGGTCAAACCTGGTGTTGGGGTTTCCACTGCAAAGAAAGATTAAAGGATTAAAGATTCAAGAATATCTATATCACATTACTGGCTGATGCAATAATCGATCTATACAATAACAGGGACAAAAAAAGACAGATTTGATTCATGATTTTCCTTGTGAGTGAGTGTGAACAGGTCAGCAGTATTTGGCTGCTGGAGTAGGATGGTACAGGTACATATATGGTGATGGCATCTGAACCAATCTGTGACGGCTGTGACATTTAAAAGCTCGGCCAGAGTGAGTGTGTCTGCAATCTTTGACTCATTACCATGTAGCCAAGAGGGCTGTGGGCTAAAAGGGAAAAACTCTCCACAAATATCTGCATTCTCCTGCATTCAAAACACCATAGCTCCATTTCCATTTTCCTTTATACCCCATACTCACCCTCTGCTCTGGACTTCTGTGTTTTCCTCACAAAATGTGACACATGTAAGATTCTGCATCTATTTAAACAAATTATGAAGGGCAATACTGACTTTGAAATTTCTGAAAGTGAAAGTGCTTTGAAAAAGGGTCACATACTTGATTGTTTTGCCAGGAATATTTCATGGTATGGCATTAAACTTAATCTACTTTTCATTCATTAAATAATGGACATTTTTCATTAAATAATGGACATTTTTAATGCCAAAAACTACTTGGTTTGGTGGAGTTATCTGCTGGTCTCCATGGAGATAAGTTTTATACAGTTTTGTGAAACATAGCAGAAAAACGTTAAGACAAAGGTCTTAATGTGGTCTTGTTGTGAAGATAAATTAATAAATAAAAAAGGATTTTGGACCGTCCACTTAAAAACGGACACTACCAGGCAAAAGTCTGGACACTTCTCATTCATGTTTCTGCTTTATTTCCATCACTGAAGGCATCAAAACTATGAATGAACATTTATAGATTGTAGGAACAAAAATAAACTCTAACTAAATCGAAACCTGTTTTGAAAACAGACACCCTTTGCTTTTATCACAGCTTTTGACAATTGGTGTTCCTTGACCCTGACCCTGGTTCACCTGTGAAGTAAAAAACATTTCAAGTAACTTTATTTCTCTGTTACTGGGAAAAGGCCAAGAGTTTGCAGCTCTGTCAACAAAGCAAAGGGTGGTTACTTTGAGGAATTTGAATATAAAATATACAAATATTTAGTTGAGTTATTTCACTTTTGTTTCTTTGTTTGATAATTCCATACATTTTGCATCATACATTTGAAGTCTTCTGTATGAATCTATAATGTAGAAAGTGATAAACATGAAGAAAAAGACAATGAAGGAGACGGTGTGTCCAGTTTTCTACTGGTCGTGTCCAAAGTGCAGAGTTTAAAATGAACAATCGTCTGGTGATGTCAAATGTGGAAATAACTTACCACTGATGACTTTTAATATAAATGTTGAAATCTCTCCATGTTCCAGACCACATGTGTATGACCCAGCATCAGATCTTCTCACATTTGTGATGATCACATATAATGTTTTTAATTGCGTGTGAGATCCTTTGATAACTTCAATGCCGTATCTTCCATTCTGCAGTCGGTTGTTTGCAGTCTCAACCAAAATGTCTTCTTTCCCTTTACAGTCATTTTGACAGAAGATTTTTTGTTTTTCATTGAAATAAAGTAAACATTGGGCTGTAAAATTTTCTCCTTCTGTTGCTTCAATCACTTTAGTCTCTGTTTTGCTGAACAGTAGTCTTCCATGGCACAACACTGTTGAACACAAGAATGAAAAGTAAAATAGAATGACATTAACGATTCAGATCCATAAGACATTTTCAGATGCTATGCTCAACTGTTTATTCAAAAGTGATCATTATAGACTCATATTTTTATTTATAAGTAGTGACACAACTGTTTCATTTCCTCTTTTACACTGTTTGGGCTAATGCAGCTCTATAGACATTTTGCAGTGACATGGACGATTTTGCCAATAATGTTGCATTTTGACACAGAATCTCGAGCCGTACAAACCCTTTAAAATGTTGTAAACAAGGACAAGTTAGAATTTCCCTAAAAGTCTGGACACACCAGCTCATTCAGTGTTTATTTCTTCACATTTATCTTTTTATATTGTATATAAGACATCAAATATACAGTGCAAGGTATGTGAATTATGGAGCAAATAGGAAAAGGGTAAATCACTTAACTAAATATATTTTATATTCAAATCCTCAAAATATCCATCCTTTTGCAATTTTGACAGGCCTTCTCAGTTATTTTTAGTTTTTTGTTTTGTTTGTTAACGGTGTTCCATGTGTCATTCATAGTTTGGAGCTTTCAGTGAGAATCTACTATGTCAATTATTATTACCTTTATTTACTCTTTTTTTTTTTTTTACAACAGGGCCCTGTATACATACAAAGACAATTATAACGACAATAATATTTAAACTATTCAGTACAACGTAAACATAACTCATTCCTCAATTAATAAAATACAAAAGAGAAAATCTTTTAAGAGAAATGTAAAATGTTCCACACGTGAAAACCAGTAAGATTTAGAGATGATTGCAGTTTGTTCCATCTGTGTGGGCCACAGCCATTAAACACATTCAGTTTATTTATTTATTTATTTATTGTTTTATTCATCAGAGACAATCAGTGTTGGGAGTAACAGATTACATGTACCAGAGTTACATAATCAGAGTACAAATTATGAGTAACTGTATTCAGTTACAGTTACTGTTTCAGTGAGAGGTAATTGGATTACAGTTACTTTGTAGAAATAAATGGATTACATGGCGGTATTTTCCTGTTTTCACATTTTGGGCTAAACCAGGACTAAACCAGGTCTAAACTAGGTCTAAACCTAGGTCTAAACCAGGTCTAAAATAGGTCTAAACTAGGTCTAAACTAGGTCTAAACCAGGACTAAAACCAGGACTAAAAACCAGGTCTAAACTAGGTCTAAACCAGGAGGTCTAAACCAGGTCTAAAACCAGGACTAAACCAGGACGTCTAAACCAGGACTAAAACCAGGTCTAAACTAGGTCTAAACTAGGTCTAAACCAGGTCTAAACCAGGTCTAAACCAGGTCTAAAACCAGGTCTAAAACTATATCTAAATTAGGATCTAAACCAGGTCTAAACCAGGTCTAAAACCAGGACTAAACCAGGTCTAAAACCAGGACTAAAACCAGGTCTAAAATTAGGTCTAAACAGGTCTAAACCAGGTCTAAAAACCAGGTCTAAACCAGGACTAAACCAGGTCTAAAACCAGGACTAAAAAACAGGTCTAAACTATAGGTCTAAAGGATATAAACCAGGTCTAAACCAGGTCAAACCAGGTCTAAACCAGGACTAAAAACCAGGTCTAAACTAGGTCTAAAATTTGTCTAAACCAGGACTAAAACCAGGTCTAAACTAGGTCTAAACTAGGTCTAAACCAGGTCTAAACTAGGTCTAAACTAGGTCCAAACCAGGTCTAAACCAGGTCTAAACTCGGACTAAAACAGGACTAAAACAGGATTTAACAGGACTAAACCATGCAGCGTGGACGTGTCTCCTCGTCTTCTACCAATAATATTTTTAATACTGTTAAGTAAAGTCTGGGCTTTTTATTTTCTTTTAGCAGATAAAATTTCTCATGTGAAAATATCTTCGTCTTTGCTTCTCTACAGCAAATCAAGTAATCCAAAGTATTCAGATTACGTTACTCACTTTAAGTAATTTAATGGATTCTGTTACAAACTACATTTTGGTGTATGTAATCTGTAATCTGTAGGGGAATACATTTTAAAAGTCACCTTCCCAACACTGGAGACAATGCACATAAAAACATCGGCCTTCTCAAAGAGGTAATATGTTTGTGCCAGGTTATAACAAAATTGCTATTGCTTTATAAAAAAATGTCCACCTTCAATCATCAGACATGTTGATGTCATTAAAGTTCACTGTTAACAAACGGAACATGTATCATCCAGTGTTGCTGTGCTCTAGAGCTGTGTGCCAGATATTGTGGTTTTCAAGTGACATTAAGTAAAAGGGCAGTTTCTTTCAAACGTCTTTATATTTAAAAACTCGACAGTGTTGATCAGGTCTCTGTGAGAGAGATGGTCATTACATTTTTTGGTATAAAACTTCTGAACATTCTGATGCATTCTAAAGTATTTTAAAGAGTCTGATCGCAAATTCAAGTAGTAACATCCAAATACTCACCAACAAACAGCATCAAAAGGGAACGTATTTTCATGTTGATCTGATGTCCTTGACACTTTAGATGGTCTCTGCAAACACTTTTCAATCTGCTTCACTCTTCACACACGTCATTTCCTTCCTTTCTTGGCTGCCTTCACACATCCCCACGCCACCCTCATGCTATCTCAGGCCAAAAAAAACAACAACATTTATTTATTTAAAAAAAAAACAAGCACAGTAATAGGAGGAAAATTTTTATACACATATATGCTGTTTTATTACGTTAAAATCTCAAACTCTTCTCAAACTGTGAGTGAGTGTCTAGAAAAGGGGCACAGAGTGTTTAGTGCAGTACAGTTTGCTTGGCTTTGTTGTAGGTTGGTCATTTTGACTTGGTCATTTTATAAGTTGGTCGCATGCTGAAAAAGTGTGGGCACTCCTGCTCTAATGCCTCCTCTATATGATGCAAAACTGACACGTCTTCATCTGGTTTGTGGTATATGCAACAAGAAACAGTTTTGCAGGGTCAAGGTTAATTGTGAAAAAGAGGCTTTCAAAGTTCTTGTGTTCTAAACTGACATGCCATTTATACTTCATACTACTTCCTAAGTATACAACCCCCTATTGTGAATATACTATCAGATACTGCAGTGGTTAAAAATGTCTCTGGGACAACAGTAAAGACCTCTAATATTGGTGAAGATTATGTTACTGTTTTTTGCATCTTACATTTCTTAGTGATTGCTTGATTTCCACAAAGACCTTTAAGTAGGCGGAGCACGAGGGGCTGTTCTCTGCATGTGACTCACTACAGTTACAGCACTTCAGACTACTTGTACAGGGATGTGCGGGATCGGGATCGCTGGAGCCACAGTGGACACAGCAGCACTGAGGTTGACAAACAGAATAAATATCCACAATACTTTAAAGCAGTTTAGTCTCAAGTGGCACGATCATACTCAAAACACGTGTTGTTTGGATGTTGCCTTTTCAGAGAATTGACTTCCTTTTGACATCTTTTGGGTACAAAGCTGACAAATGTGTAATCCTGACTCTTCATTTATCTGGCTCTTTGGCCACATCACAGTGAGGCCCAGACATTCATAGTGCATGTACTTCTGGCAGTTGGAGCACTTGACTTCTGCTTCATGTTGAGATTTATCACACCAACACAGCTTCACAGTCAGGTGGCATTTTGCTGCATGTTACAGTTTTATGTTACTACCTGCAGGCAGCACGGTGGCTGAGTGGCTAGCACTCATGCCTCACAGCAAGAAGGTTCTGGGTTTGATCCCCGGGCCTTTCTGTGTGGAGTTTGCATGTTTCTCCCTGTGACTGGATGGGTTTCCTCCATCAACCCAAAACATGCTACAGGTCTCCATAAACAGTTGATAGTCAAGGTCAGTTAAATACAATAAATTCAGTCATTGTGTCCTTAGGCAAGACACTTCGCCCAGTTTGCCTAGTATGAAAGTGTGTGTGTGAGTGATGGTGGTGGTTGGAGGGACCGATGGCGCAGAGTGGCATGGCAGCTGCGCTTCTGTCAGTGTGCCCCAGGGCAGCTGTGGCTACAATAGTAGCTTACCATCACCAGGGTACAGAGTGAATGAATAATGCTGAATAAAATGAAAGCGTCTTTGTGGACAGCGCTATATAAACAAAGACTTACTTGCTTACTTACTTACCTGCAGTTCACGTTGGTATATAAGGCCAGCCAAACATGCATAAGATGCATATTTGAATGACATATGTATGAATACATGAAATATAGAGGTGAGAGCAGCGAAGCCTTCACTTTACCACCGTACAACTTCACTGTCACATGCACAGACAGAGGCAGGAGGAGACTTGCTGATGATATTAAGTTGATCCTAATTTCCTCATCAGATGAACGTGTCAAACAGAAGTTATGCAGTGCTCATTCCTACAAATATTGTAACATGTAAACCGAACACTTTTACCCAATCCCAAGAGAGAAGCCGCCAGCTCCCACAAATTCATCCCAGGACGGACCTGATCTGGCACTTGTGTGGACGCCTGAAAATGTTGATACACTGACGTAGGAGCTCTCGTTGTGTTCTTATTGGACCACGTCACTGTGACTTGCTCCTTCCTGATTCGCTGGGTTCTTGACATCGGTCATGTGACACTGTTGTGGAAAACAATTTAAACAAACCACAGACAAACGGGAAATCCAGTGTTACATTCAGTAACAACTGAACCTCGTCGTCGGTCCACGAAAAGACTGTTTTCATGTTTGCCGTCTTCTCGAATCTAAATTAGCTGCTGCAAATTCAGACATGATTGTGGACACAGAAACGACATGTTGCAAATTGTTTCTGATACGTTGATTTGTTTCAGTGTAAATGTAACCTCAGGCTGTGTGTCTGTTTGTGTAATATAACAACAGTGTTGGGGAGTAACAGATTACATGTACCGCCGTTACGTAATCAGAGTACAAATTATGAGTAACTGTATTCCATTACAGTGACTGTTTCAATTAGTGGTAAATGGATTACAGTTACTTTGCTGAAATAAGTGGATTACAAGGCGGTATTTTCCTGTTTTCACATTTTGTGCTACATCCCATGTATTTATTTTTTTATTTTGGTAATTCCACTCATTGCCGGAAACCCAAACAGAACGCGCGCAGTAAGAGCGATGTAAACGTCATGTTAAAGTTGGCGGTGTCAGTCACACAATGGGAGCAGCAGTGCATTGGTAAAAACGCATTTGTGTCTTGGAAATTCTTCTCCCGATGTGATATATATATATATATATATATATATATATATATATATATATATATATATATATATATATATATATATATATATATATATATATATAACAAATATAAAATTGCCTACAACTTAAATGTGAAACAGGAGCTACTGGCACTGGAGAAAACAACCTGCATAGACTCATAATATCTGCACTACTGTCCTACAGTGACCTGCCACATGAGTGGCACACACACACAAACACACACACACACACACACACACACACACACACACACACACACACACACACACACACACACACACACACACACACACACACACACAAACACACACACACACACACACACACACACACACACAAACACACACACACACACACACACACACACACACACACACACACACACACACACACACACACACACACACACACACACACACACACACACACACACACACACACACACACACACACACACACACACACACACACACACACACACACACACACACACACACACACACACACACACACACACACACACACACACACACACACACACACACACACACACACACACACACACACACACACACACACACACACACACACACACACACACACACACACACACACACACACACACACACACACACACACACCTTCATCATCGTCATCAACCTGAGAACCCACGGACCACGTCTCCTTCCGTAGTTACTGCGTGGACACCGACGTCTCGTGCGCCGCGTGTGGACCGTGTTTTCTCGCGTAAACCGCGCTTCCTCCTGTGCGCCTCTAAACCAGAACTAACACCAAGACTAAACCAGGACTAAACCAGGACTAAACCAGGACTAAACCAGGACTAACCAGGACTAAACCCAGGACTAAAGCAGGACTAAAACCAGGTCTAAACAACATGACACCTAACAGTAGGTTGACATAATTTAAGGTGATCTCATATAAAAAAAATCATTTCTCTATCAATAATATTTTTTAATCTGGTGAAGGAAAGGCTGATCTTGTTTACTGTCTTTTAACAGACAAAACCTCTTATATTAAGATATCGTGGTCTTTGTTTCTCTACAGTAAACAGTTGCTTATTCATGGAGACTTGGGCTCAGACAATTTGAAGACAACAAACAAGAATTTTCAGGATGTGGTTGCTACATTCATGTCATTTAAAAAAAACATGACAATATCAAGTAATCCAAAGTAATCAGATTACGTTGCTCACTTTAAGTAATTTAATGGATTACGTTACAAACTACATTTTGGGGTGTGTAATCTGTAATCTGTAGGGGATTACATTTTAAAAGTCACCTTCCCAACACTGTATAACAATAACATAACAATAAATCTATACTGGTTAACAATATGTGGGTTGTTATAGTGTTGTTCTATGAAGTTAGAGAAAACTAAAACTACACAGACACACACACACACACACACACATACAACAGCAAACACACAAATGTTGGATATTTTATTCCAATCATGTCACATTCAGCTGTTGAGGCTCTTGATAAAGGTAAACATGAACCTACCTGACATTAAGTTAGCAAGAGACTATGAGGTATGCTAACACATATCATTTTGTAACAAGACATCGTAATTAATAATCAATAAGGAATTGGCCTTGTAGACAATTCATTAATGTTACATACCCGTCCTACAGACACTTCCATTTCAGGAGTGTCAAATGTTTTGTGTGTCAACTGCTGCCACCTGCTGGTGGTGGGAGGAGGATCTGTTTTTTTATAGATCATCCTCTGTACATTTATGAACATTAATGAGACAAAAATACCCCTGTACTGGAGTTCCTTGATGTTCTTAAAGACTTCTCACACTGGCCACACTTGAATAGTGTCTCAGTGTGAAGTCTCATGTTTGTCAAGTTGATGTAGTGAAAACTTTCTCACATTGTTCACATTTGTCTTATCTCCAGTGTGGACTCTGGTGTGTCTTTGGAGATGTGCTGATGGAGAAAAACTCTTCCCACACTGGTCACACTCATGTGGCTTCTCTCCAGAGTTGGTTTTGTGATGCAAATGTATCACTCTTTTGAACACAGATTGTTTTGAGAAGAAAAACGCTTTATTTTAATGTCCCCAGCCAACTTGCCGGACTACTTTCATCAGCACCGAAAACAGCCAGTATCTCGGCTCACCGGACGCTGTCGTGGGTAAGTCAGTGTGGATGCACGACACTGCTCATGGAAATACCATACAGATTCATGTCAAAAAACCCAAACTATCAGTTTAAATCCCCGTGTGTCTGGAGAGGGCACAACCAACGATCTGATATGACCTAAATAATAACGGCACATACATGTAAAGGACCAAACACAATAGATACTATTAACAAATAAGTATTTCACCCCAGCTGAGTGATTAGGGAGCGGTGAGGACCTAAATGGTCTTTACAAGACTGGTAAAGAAAAATTAGATTTAGCCGTCAGTGTGAACATTTTGGTTCACTACATACTCTTAGCCCAGTATGTAGGTGTCTGTATTTGCACCTGTGGTTAGTGATTTAGAGACATGAACATGAACTCACATCCAGACATGCACACAGTCAGGCACATGCACTGTCTTTGTGAGCACTCTTCTATATTCACACACTGGAAACCACCACAACAACAGTACAGAGTTTGAACTTATTCACTTTATTATTTTGACTTCAGAGTTAAAAAGTAAGAAAGGTTAAATTACGAAAAGTGGGCTGGTGTTGGATCTGAGAAAAGAGATTGCCTCAGTGTAGTCGGATTCAAGCACTTTACATTTTTTAAACACGGGGTCCATATTAATTTGACCAAAACATCTATATTCCATTGAACTAATGACAACTGACACTTGGATGGAGTGACATCATACTTGAGGTGTTCTACATGTCCTCACTTGTCTTGACTTGGTCTCATATGTTACTGTAGGTTTGGTTTGGGTCCATGTTGTCCACACGGTAGTTTTCATACTATTCAAAACAACAAAGCAAATGAATGAATGACATATTATAACTGGAAAGAGATTTGTAAAGACGATGTATCACACTTGTGAGGGGGATTAACTGTAACACATCACAGATTTAGATAATATTAACTTTTAGTGTTCTGAAAATGCTATAATCGTCTAAAACTACTTAAGAACATGTTTTGTAGACTCTGTTCATAGACGTTGAATGGAGCCAATGGGCTGTTTTAAGTTTGTCACATACTTTGGAACGCAGAAAATTAACAGATTAAGATATATTCCCTCACCTCTGGAGTTTCACAGTCATCAGCAGCAGCTGTAAAATTTTCACAAGTGTAAAATGAACCAGATGGATAAAAAAGTGCATTGTTTCCATTGGAGTGTGGCTCACCTGTTGGTCTATTGGTTTTCCTTTTCCAGCACCAAATCAAAATACTCCCTGATACAATAATCAGAATGGTGGTTACACTCACAGCAACATACTGCAGCACAACTGAAAGAGACGTGTTCAGAAGTGTCAGTGAAACTCAAATCATGCAGATGTAATTCTGAACATCATTTTTCAGAAGCTACCAGACAGTGTGGATGAGTTGTGCTCCTCCTGAGGTTGCTGTGAGCTCGTCACTTCAGATGCTTCTTGTGTCCTTTGTGTCGTCTGTGCTGGTGTCACATTATGGAGGGATGTGGTGGGAGCAGCTCCGAGGGTCAAACCTGGTGTTGGGGTTTCCACTGCAAAGAAAGATTAAAGGATTAAAGATTCAAGAATATCTATATCACATTACTGGCTGATGCAATAATCGATCTATACAATAACATTTGACAGAAGTGAACTTGTAACACAGACAAAAAGGCAGATTTGATTCATGATTTTCCTTGTGAGTGAGTGTGAACAGGTCAGCAGTATTTGGCTGCTGGAGTAGGATGGTACAGGTACATATATGGTGATGGCATCTGAACCAATCTGTGACGGCTGTGACATTTAAAAGCTCTGCCAGAGTGAGTGTGTCTGCAATCTTTGACTCATTACCATGTAGCCAAGAGGGCTGTGGGCTAAAAGGGAAAAACTCTCCACAAATATCTGCATTCTCCTGCATTCAAAACACCATAGCTCCATTTCCATTTTCCTTTATACCCCATACTCACCCTCTGCTCTGGACTTCTGTGTTTTCCTCACAAAATGTGACACATGTAAGATTCTGCATCTATTTAAACTAATTATGAAGGGCAATATTGACTTTGAAATTTCTGAAAGTGAAAGTGCTTTAAAAAAAAAAAAAAAAAAAGGTTTACTATTTAACTTTTCTGGTGCAGGGTCACATGCTTGATTGTTTTGCCAGGAATGTTTCATGGTATGGCATTAAACTTAATCTACTTTTCATTAATGCCAAAAACTACTTGGTTTGGTGGAGTTATCTGCTGGTCTCCATGGAGATAAGTTTTATACAGTTTTGTGAAACATAGCAGAAAAACGTTAAGACAAAGGTCTTAATGTGGTCTTGTTGTGAAGATAAATTAATAAATAAAAAAGGATTTTGGACCGTCCACTTAAAAACGGACACTACCAGGCAAAAGTCTGGACACTTCTCATTCATGTTTCTGCTTTATTTCCATCACTGAAGGCATCAAAACTATGAATGAACATTTATAGATTGTAGGAACAAAAATAAACTCTAACTAAATCGAAACTTGTTTTGAAAACAGACACCCTTTGCTTTTATCACAGCTTTTGACAATTGGTGTTCCTTGACCCTGACCCTGGTTCACCTGTGAAGTAAAAAACATTTCAAGTAACTTTATTTCTCTGTTACTGGGAAAACGCCAAGAGTTTGCAGCTCTGTCAACAAAGCAAAGGGTGGTTACTTTGAGGAATTTGAATATAAAATATACAAATATTTAGTTGAGTTATTTCACTTTTGTTTCTTTGTTTGATAATTCCATACATTTTGCATCATACATTTGAAGTCTTCTGTATGAATCTATAATGTAGAAAGTGATAAACATGAAGAAAAAGACAATGAAGGAGACGGTGTGTCCAGTTTCTACTGGTCGTGTCCAAAGTGCAGAGTTTAAAATGAACAATCGTCTGGTGATGTCAAATGTGGAAATAACTTACCACTGATGACTTTTAATATAAATGTTGAAATATCTCCATGTTCCAGACCACATGTGTATGACCCAGCATCAGATCTTCTCACGTTTGTGATGATCACATTTAATGTTGTAGTACTTGCGTGTGAGATCCTTTGATAACTTCAATGCCGTATCTTCCATTCTGCAGTCGGTTGTTTGCAGTCTCAACCAAAGTGTCTTCTTTCCCTTTACAGTCATTTTGACAGAAGATTTTTTTGTTTTCCATTGAAATAAAGTAAACATTGGGCTGTAAAATTGTCTCCTTCTGTTGCTTCAATCACTTTAGTCTCTGTTTTGCTGAATAATAGTCTTCCATGGCACAACACTGTTGAACACAAGAATGAAAAGTCATTTTGTACAGAAATACATAAAAATACTGGAATAGAGACAATGAGATGGACAATGGAACATGATGCAAACTCAACAGACACATTAGAATTACACTGGCAGTTAAAAGTTTGGACACACCATCTTTCTACATTTTATATAGACATCAAATATACAATGCAAGATGTGTGAATTATGAATCAAAGAAGAAAAAGGTAAATCACTCAATATATATATATTTTAATATATATATTTTACATTTTATTTTTGTTTTACTTCATTCCATATGTTTTCATTCATAGTTTTGGAGAGAAAATCTACAATGCAAATATTCATAGCAATAAAAACGAAACATAAACTTCATAAATGCATAAATATGTCCAAGTGTGTTTCTGTATTTTTCATTCTTGAATTTGTTCCTTTTCTGAATATTATGTAAGTGACATTGTTTAGATCATTCTGAACATTCTACATGAATATGCACGATTGCAATGGAACATATAAGAAGGACACATTTATATTTGAACATTCTGATAACATTCTGATGTATTCTGGTGCATTATAAAGAGTCCAAAAGCCAAGTACTCACCAACAAACAGCATCAATAGTGAACACATGTTCATGTTCAACTGATGTCCTTGACACTTTTGGGTTCTGACTGACTGCGAACACTTTTCAGCTGCACAAAGTCACACATATATCATTTCCTTCCTTTCTCAGGTGCCACTTGTCACGCCTCTCTCATATCTCAGGCTGAAAAAAACAAACAAACATTTATTTATTTTTCAAACAGGCACAGTAATAGGAGGAAAATGTTCTCTCATACACATATGTGATTTATTAATATTAAAATGATTTATTCTTACACTAAAAGTCCAACCTCTCCTCCTCTCCTGACCCTGTGTGTGTGTGTGTGTGTGTGTGTGTGTGTGTGTGTGTGTGTGTGTGTGTGTGTGTGTGTGTGTGTGTGTGTGTGTGTGTGTGTGTGTGTGTGTGTGTGTGTGTGTGTGTGTGTGTGTGTGTGTGTGTGTGCATGTGTGTGTGTGTGTGTGTGTGTGTGTGTGTGTGTGTGTGTGTGATGTGTGTGTGTGTGTGTGTGTGTGTGTGTGTGTGTGTGTGTGTGTGTGTGTGTGTGTGTGTGTGTGTGTGTGTGTGTGTGTGTGTGTGTGTGTGTGTGTGTGTGTGTGTGTGTGTGTGTGTGTGTGATGTGTGTGTGTGTGTGTGATGTGTGTGTGTGTGTGTGTGTGAGTGTGTGTGTGTGTGTGTGTGTGTGTGTGTGTGTGTGTGTGTGCGTGTGTGTGTGTGTGTGTGTGTGTGTGTGTGTGTGTGTGTGTGTGTGTGTGTGTGTGTGTGTGTGTGTGTGTGATGTGTGTGTGTGTGTGTGTGTGTGTGTGTGTGTGTGTGTGTGTGTGTGTGTGTGTGTGTGTGTGTGTGTGTGTGTGTGTGTGTGTGTGTGTGTGTGTGTGTGTGTCTGCTCTCGTCTTTCTCTCCCCTCATGACTCACATTTCTTTCTTAATAAAAACCTAAACTATGGAAAGTAAACAGTCTTTTTTTTACAAACTCTTCTCTCCATCCAGGTGTGAGATTGTCCATGATGCATGTATTTTTAACTTTTAAAAAGTTTGTTTTTGTCATTGTGTTTGTCTGGTTCTGGCAAAGTCACATTTGCTGATCTGGACGAAATATCAGGAGTAAAAGTAAAAGGGGCCCAGGTTCCTGTGACCTTCTGTGGGGGAAATACTATTTTAATAAAAACACAGACAGACCCAGACTCACCTGCACCGACAGACCCAGACTCACCTGCACCGACAGACCCAGACTCACCTGCACCGACAGACCCAGACTCACCTGCACCGACAGACCCAGACTCACCTGCACCGACAGACCCAGACTCACCTGCACCGACAGACCCAGACTCACCTGCACCGACAGACCCAGACTCACCTGCACAGACCCAGACTCACCTGCACCGACAGACCCAGACTCACCTGCACAGACAGACCCAGACTCACCTGCACAGACAAAGGCAGGAGGAGAATTATCGCTGATATTAAGTTAAGATCCAAAATATATTTTTTTACAGAATTCCAAGCACTTTTACTGTCACCACAGACTGTGTAGGTCAGCCCCAGGTCGATGTTCACACCACATCCTGAGAGGAGCCGCTCCAGAGAGAGAGAGGAGCCGCTCCAGAGAGAGAGAGGAGCCGCTCCAGAGAGAGAGAGGAGCCGCTCCAGAGAGAGAGAGGAGCCGCTCCAGAGAGAGAGAGGAGCCGCTCCAGAGAGAGAGAGAGGAGCCGCTCCAGAGAGAGAGAGGAGCCGCTCCAGAGAGAGAGAGAGCCGCTCCAGAGAGAGAGGAGCCGCTCCAGAGAGAGAGAGGAGCCGCTCCAGAGAGAGAGAGAGGAGCCGCTCCAGAGAGAGAGAGGAGCCGCTCCAGAGAGAGAGAGAGGAGCCGCTCCAGAGAGAGAGAGGAGCCGCTCTTAGACTTCCTGTTTGAAGCACTGTTGGAGCAGGCTACACACTTTAGGTTTTCTGTGTTGTTGCTCACTTCTCAGAGACCACCACATCATGTTTTCTTAGATTTGTATTAGTCAAATAATAATTTCTGTGTACAATAGAGTGTAAAAAGTACAACATTGTCGCTAGGTAATGGTTTTACCTTGGAATTATTACGTGATCTCATTTCCAGTTAGAAATGATAGAAATTTCGCATTGGGGGAAAAAAGTATGAGTTGAAGCTGAGATCAACAATAGACACAGAAACTGAAACTAAATAATAAATAAGTTGGTTAGAGTGTGTTTTATTTATGTGCTAACTTAAACAAAAAATATAGAAATAATCAAATGAACTACAAATAAATTACAGTGAGAAAATGTCAGCTTGCTTAACATTTCCTTTAATGACTTTAGGGTCCTTAAGGGTTCTGCCCACAGAGCCAAACTCTTTTTTTGTTTTAATTGTTGTTACACACACTATGTGTCAGATAGTTGAGATGTAACATGTGGTCCTTTATCGGCCACATTACAAAAGTCTAAATGTTGTTGTTCATTGTCTGGATGGTCGCTGTATAGTGCTCCACATTTTCCCTCTCTTTCTCTCCATCACAGATTTGATTATATTATTGTATGAAAAGTCATTTTGTGCAGAAATTATATATATTATATTTATATTATTATGTATATTATATCTTTAAATTTAAATTCCACAGTATTGGTAGTTTGTTGATCCAAAAAACACGACCTGATCAGTTCTGTAAGAGTGACTACAGTCACTAGACCAAAAACTCAGTGTATTACAACAACATCCAAATTGTAAATCTGCAATTTCAAAGGCCCATGCAGTATTAGACTGTTTTCTGTTCCATTCTGTTTTCTCATCACAAACACACCTGGAGTTTTGTTTCAGTCACACATGTTTAACACACAAACCTGCAGATTTAGGCTGAGTTTTTCTCACAAACAGAAAATACTCTATAAAACAGGAAGTGTTCCACTGTATTTTTTAAACTCCATACACCTTCACTAGAATCATTTGGAAAATTTCAACTCTGGAATTTTCAGTCTACACTGAACTAAAGGTAGAAGGTAACTGTTAACTGGAAAACTACTGCTTCACAAAGTGTGTAACTCAAACATGTGTGAATGAAACAAAACTCCAGGTCTGTTTGTGATGACAAAACTACATTAGAACATGGAACACAATTCTAAAAGACTAAACGCTCACAAGAATCAATTTTGAGGAACATAAGACCTTTAACAGTTTTCATTTTAGTCATCTGTATTAAATAATGTTGGTCTATAGACTGTTGTAATGTCATCTGAAGCCCAGCAATGATTATATATATAATATAACACATATTTATCTCCATGGAGAATGTTTGGCTTTAACTTCTCTGGAACCGTTCAGGTGATGTAAAAATAATAATAAAAACTTACCAGGGGAGACCTCAATTTGAAATTGCACCATGGTTGAGTTTTTCTGCCCATAATCCAGACCACACTGGTACAGTCCTGCATCTGATCTGTGCACATCTGTAATGTTCACAGACATATGCAAAAACCCTGATTGATGTTTCTCTTCAATACTGTATCTGCTGTTCTGCTGACGGGAGCCTGCAGTCTGAACCAGAATGTTTTCTTTTTTGTCACAATCAGCTTTACAAAAGATTTTAGTATTTCCCAAATAATAAACCTGACATGTGACTGTTAAATTCTCTCCTTCAGTGACTTTGAAAAGAGTCGGTGATCTAATGAATCCATGTGGTCCAGCAAACAGCACTGTCAACACATGAACAAAAAGTGACCTCAACTCTGCTTTGTTCATTATATTTAGACAAAAATCTTTAATTATGCACTCACCAAAAAACAGCACAAAAACTGAAGCAGTTCTCATATTGTGTGGAGTTCCCCTCAACTTTATTTCCAGTGGCCAAAATAAGTTCTCTGTGAAAATGACACAACGTGTGTCTCCTCCCCTTTAGTTGGAAGGATGAAACCACAAACCACAAACTAGTGTTGTGCTCAGTTTCCTGTATTTTTTAATCGGGGTTAAAGAGGGTTGGCTCATGTTGCCTTCATGTGGCTAAACGAGCTGCTCTTTTCTCAACCTCATTTGCACCTCTCTTCTCAAACTGTTCTAGAAATAAAAATAAAGTTACACATTCAAATAAAGTCAATAAAATAGACTTTAATAGAATGGAAAACAAATATACAGTATGAGCAGAATACACAACAGGGTGAGTTGTTGTACAGTTGTAGGGAGTATTATCTCTTATATTAAGGTGAGTTTTTGTACAGTTGTAGGGAGTATTATCTCTTATATTAAGGTGAGTTTTTGTACAGTTGTAGGGAGTATTATCTGTTATATAAGGGTGAGCTGTACAATCGTAGGGAGTATTATATATATATTATTAAGAATAAACCAGGACTAAACCAGGACTAAAGCCAGACTAAACCAGGACTAAACCAGGACTGAACTAAGACTAAAGTAGGACTAAACCAGGACTAAACCAGGAGGATTAAACCAGGGGGACTAAACCAGGACTGAACCAGGACTAAACCAGGAGGACTAAACCAGGACTGAACCAGGACTACGTAAACCAGAACTAAAACAGGACTAAACCCAGACTGAACCAGGACTTAACCAAGACTAAACCAGGACTAAACCAGGATTGAACCAGGACTAAAACAGGATTGAACCAGGACTGAACCAGGACTGAACCGGGACTGAACCGGGACTGAACCAGGACTAATTCAGGACTAAACCAGAACTCAACCAGGACTCAATGTCGGGATGGGCCCAGAGGTGAGAGACTGTCAGGTGACTGCAGGTGAAAGGACCGGCACAGAGCTCCCCGTCCATGGGGCGAAGTGCAGCCATGGCTCGATTATGCTTTGCAGACACCCTGCTCCACAAGTTCGGGGTTCTCCCTCTCTCTCTCTCAAGTCCAACATTAGTCCTGGTTTAGACCTGGTTTAAACAACACTACAATAAACAAGACAGAAAATTAAACCAAAATCAAAGTATGCAAAATGAAAATGTTGCACACATTGCACACTGACTGATGATACAAGAAATGAAAAAGTGCCATGCTCCCTTCACTTCCATCCTTCATTTTCCTCTTCAGAAATATTCAATGCACCTTCTTCTTGAATATCGTCCATGACGACCTCGATCTGTGGCTCGGCACCAGCCTCATCCAAGTTGATCCAAAACAGACTGATGGTTCTGTACAATAACTGTACATTCTATAGAGGAAATGTGCACTTTACATTTCCAGCACTTTTTTTTTTTCTCGCATTTCTTTTTTTTCTCTATCAATCTGATTTTACTCAGTAAGGACGGTGTGTTCCAATGTCATGAAGTAACATTTATTTCAAAAACTACTTAAAAAATTACAAATTATTCATAAAAAACTACTCAATTACAGTAATGGGAGGAAATGTAATTTGTTACTTTCCACCCTTGTCTGTGGGTATTTTTGCCCTTCAGCCTGTACAGTAGTAAAAGTGTAATGACATGAGCTACATTCAGATTACTCCCCTCCAATATCCATAATACACCAGGATTTTGACAAGATTTGACAATTCTAGCCTAATAAATGTCCATTAAATCACTTGGTCTCGGATGGAAGTGTAGGTTTGGTTTGGGTCCATGTTGTCCACACAGAGGCTCTGGTAAGTGCAGTCTGCACACTCCTTCACTGCAGCAAGACGCTCGTTTTCACACTATTCAAAAAACAACAAAGCAAATGAATGACATATTATAACTGGATATAGATTTGTAAAGACGGTGTATCACACTTGTGTGTGTGATTAACTGTAACACATCACAGATTTACATCACCAATATTAACTTTTAGTGTTCTGAAAATGCTATAATCGCCTAAAACTGTGTCACTCCCCCTTCAGAGCAGCATCACATTAGAGTCAGTGTACGTCCCACTGCCAGTGGTGGCTGGTGATGTAAACACAGGGAGTTTTTTTTTTTTTTTTTCTCCATAAAAGGCAACTACTAATACTACAATATTCATGAGATATTATTGTAACAAGAAACACTCACTGAGGGAAGACCGAAAAAGAATCTGTGAAGGCCACAGTGTTTGTCACACATTCTGCAATAGCCCCATGGTGATCGGTTTATTTACATAACAGGGGACAGGTTATTATCAATACTTTTGGGACGTACTTTTGGATATACTTTTATTTTACTCCTAAAGGCTGAATGAGTCCATTTTGGACCAGCCGCCACTGATTTATTGTGCAATTTAGACATGTTTAGATTTTTGTTAAAGACACGTCACTGCACCATCAAGCAGGTAAACAAACTCCTGTCTGACTAAAAGAATCACTAATTCTTGTGCGTGTCCTTTGTCTGCAGGTTAAAACACTGACAACCTAGAACTAAAAGTGGAATAGCACAGGCTGCATACAGTTCCTTTAAGGCATGACGCCCACACTTTTTCAACATGCCAGCTACTTATAAAATGACCAAGTCAAAATGATCTACCTACTACAAAGCCAAGCAAACTGTGCTGCACTGAAACACTCTGTGTCCCTTTTGTGGACCCTCACCCACAGTTTGAGAACCCTTCTTTAATTTCCACTGGCACTTTCCACAAAACTGTGAAAAACGATGATGATTTTAAACCTGTTTTTCATGTTCCTGACTGGAGTTACATTCTTTTACTGGTTTTGCAGTGAGATTTAGCCTCTGCACATTTATCCAACCAAACACACATCGTGACAAACACATTTGCATTTGTGCACTTTTATTATGTAAACTTCAACCACATGTCGCGGTAGGTCTGTTCTGTGCTGTAGATCTGCTTTGTGCCAACACTGTAACATAAATTTAGATTCGTTTTTGCTTCACATTTCATCCTGCTCTTCTAATCAGTGCATTGAGGAGGAGCCTGTGTGCGCTGTACACGGGCAAGCCGCACGCCAGGAGTGTGTGTGTTTGTGATGTGCCTCACAGTATCTATAGGCTCCAAATGAGCACACAGGCTGCAGAGAAACGCCCTGCACGCTCCTGCACACTGGTACTGGTATTTATTGCCGACAGCAGCGACCATAATGAAATATGATTGTTGAGTGTCAGATCTGGAGCGAGAGACAAGACCAAGTCCAAACACAATCAAGTCCAAGACGAGTACTACGACACTCTACCCACACTAAACTGGGGATCGACTGGTAGATCCGATTGACATATTCACTGCCCCTGCTGTGAGGCGTATTTCATTTTTATTTTAGAGAAAAGTACTGCACATGGTTGGCAATCTCTGTATTGGCTCACCTCTGGAGTTTCACAGTCATCAGCAGCAGTTGGATCTTCTGTAAAATTTTCACAAGTGTAAAATGAACCAGATGGATAAAAAAGTGCATTGTTTCCATTGGAGTGTGGCTCACCTGTTGGTCTATTGGTTTTCCTTTTTCCAGCACCAAATCAAAATACTCCCTGATACAATAATCAGAATGGTGGTTACACTCACAGCAACATACTGCAGCACAACTGAAAGAGACGTGTTCAGAAGTGTCAGTGAAACTCAAATCATGCAGATGTAATTCTGAACATCATTTTTCAGAAGCTACCAGACAGTGTGGATGAGTTGTGCTCCTCCTGAGGTTGCTGTGAGCTCGTCACTTCAGATGCTTCTTGTGTCCTTTGTGTCGTCTGTGCTGGTGTCACATTATGGAGGGATGTGGTGGGAGCAGCTCCGAGGGTCAAACCTGGTGTTGGGGTTTCCACTGCAAAGAAAGATTAAAGGATTAAAGATTCAAGAATATCTATATCACATTACTGGCTGATGCAATAATCGATCTATACAATAACAGGGACAAAAAGACAGATTTGATTCATGATTTTCCTTGTGAGTGAGTGTGAACAGGTCAGCAGTATTTGGCTGCTGGAGTAGGATGGTACAGGTACATATATGGTACAAATGCATAAAATTATAATAGATAATATTTTTTCTGAGATTTTGAGACACTCCTGTTGCTCGAGCTTGATCCTTTGCGGAGTTATGAGCAAAAACATATATTTGACCTTGTTTACCTTGACCTTCAAGTGACCTTGAATGGTTTCAACCTGTAACATCCAGTGTGCCCCGGTTATGTGTGTGTCAACTTGTGTGATGATTGGGTGAATATTTTAGGCCACAGATGGTTCAGAAATTGCAGAAATTGCCTTTATCCTTTATAATGGCGTGACCTTTCAAACCTGTGTGACCTCAGATGACTTCAGATCGGAATTATCGCGGGTGGACAGACACAGACACAGACACAGACACACTCACACACACAGACACACGCACACACACACACATACTCACATAGACACACAGGGTGAATACAAAACCTGGTGAACCCTTGAGGTAATGAAGGAGACGGTGTGTCCAGTTTTTATTGGTCGTGTCTAAAGTGCAGAGTTTAAATGAACAATCATCTGGTGACGTCAATGTTAATTTTTTTTTGTTTTTTTGCACTTTGAAGGAGCAGCTCTGCATCTCATTATACTGTGTATAATGACAATAAAGGCTTTCTATTTTTATTTTTATTTCTAAATGTGGAAGTGACTTACCTTTAATGACTTTTAATATAAATGTTGAAATCTCTCCATGTTCCAGACCACATGTGTATGACCCAGCATCAGATCTTCTCACATTTGTGATGATCACATATAATGTTTTTAATTGCGTGTGAGATCCTTTGATAACTTCAATGCCGTATCTTCCATTCTGCAGTCGGTTGTTTGCAGTCTCAACCAAAATGTCTTCTTTCCCTTTACAGTCATTTTGACAGAAGATTTTTTTGTTTCCATTGAAATAAAGTAAACATTGGGCTGTAAAATTTTCTCCTTCTGTTGCTTCAATCACTTTAGTCTCTGTTTTGCTGAACAGTAGTCTTCCATGGCACAACACTGTTGAACACAAGAATGAAAAGTAAAATAGAATGACATTAATGATTCAGATCCATAAGACATTTTCAGATGCTATGCTCAACTGTTTCATTCAAAAGTGATCATTATAGACTCATATTTTTATTTATAAGTAGTGACACAACTGTTTCATTTCCTCTTTTACACTGTTTGGGCTAATGCAGCTCTATAGACATTTTGCAGTGACATGGACGATTTTGCCAATAATGTTGCATTTTGACACAGAATCTCGAGCCGTACAAACCCTTTAAAATGTTGTAAACAAGGACAAGTTAGAATTTCCCTAAAAGTCTGGACACACCAGCTCATTCAGTGTTTATTTCTTCACATTTATCTTTTTATATTGTATATAAGACATCAAATATACAGTGCAAGGTATGTGAATTATGGAGCAAATAGGAAAAGGGTAAATCACTTAACTAAATATATTTTATATTCAAATCCTCAAAATATCCATCCTTTTGCAATTTTGACAGGCCTTCTCAGTTATTTTTAGTTTTTTGTTTTGTTTGTTAACGGTGTTCCATGTGTCATTCATAGTTTGGAGCTTTCAGTGAGAATCTACTATGTCAATTATTATTACCTTTATTTACTCTTTTTTTTTTTTTTTACAACAGGGCCCTGTATACATACAAAGACAATTATAACGACAATAATATTTAAACTATTCAGTACAACGTAAACATAACTCATTCCTCAATTAATAAAATACAAAAGAGAAAATCTTTTCAAAGAAATGTAAAATGTTCCACACGTGGAAACCAGTAAGATTTAGAGATGATTGCAGTTTGTTCCATCTGTGTGGGCCACAGCCATTAAACACATTCAGTTTGTTTATTTATTTATTTATTTATTGTTTTATTCATCAGAGACAATCAGTGTTGGGAGTAACAGATTACATGTACCAGAGTTACATAATCAGAGTACAAATTATGAGTAACTGTATTCAGTTACAGTTACTGTTTCCATGAGTGGTAATTGGATTACAGTTACTTTGTTGAAATAAATGGATTACATGGCGGTATTTTCCTGTTTTCACATTTTGGGCTAAACCAGGACTAAACCAGGTCTAAACCAGGTCTAAAACCAGGTCTAAACCAGGACTAAACCAGGACTAAACCAGGTCTAAAACCAGGACTAAAACCAGGTCTAAACTAGGTCTAAACTAGGTCTAAACCAGGTCTAAACTAGGTCTAAATTAGGTCTAAACTTGGTCTAAACCAGGTCTAAAACTAGGTCTAAACCAGGACTAAACCAGGTCTAAAACCAGGTCTAAACCAGGTCTAAACCAGGTCTAAAACCAGGTCTAAACCAGGACTAAACCAGGACTAAAACCAGGTCTAAACTATATCTAAATTAGATCTAAACCAGGTCTAAAAACAGGACTAAAACCAGGTCTAAACCAGGTCTAAACTAGGTCTAAACCAGGACTAAACCAGGACTAAAACCAGGTCTAAACTAGGTCTAAACCAGGACTAAACCAGGTCTAAAACCAGGACTAAACCAGGACAAAACCAGGACTAAACCAGGTCTAAACTAGGTCTAAACTAGGTCTAAACCAGGTCTAAACTAGGTCTAAACCAGGTCCAAACCAGGTCTAAACCAGGTCTAAAACCAGGTCTAAACTAGGTCTAAACTAGGTCTAAACCAGGACTAAACCAGGACTAAAACCAGGTCTAAACTATATCTAAATTAGATCTAAACCAGGTCTAAAACCAGGTCTAAACCAGGACTAAACCAGGTCTAAAACCAGGTCTAAAACCAGGTCTAAACCAGGACTAAACCAGGTCTAAAACCAGGACTAAAACCAGGTCTAAACTAGGTCTAAACTAGGTCTAAACCAGGTGTAAACCAGGTCCAAACCAGGTCTAAACCAGGACTAAAACCAGGTCTAAAAACAGGACTAAAACCAGGTCTAAACCAGGTCCAAACCAGGTCTAAACAGGTCTAAACTAGGTCTAAACTAGGTCTAAACCAGGTCTAAACCAGGTCTAAACTAGGTCTAAACTAGGTCCAAACCAGGTCTAAACCAGGTCTAAACTCGGACTAAAACAGGACTAAAACAGGATTTAACAGGACTAAACCATGCAGCGTGGACGTGTCTCCTCGTCTTCTACCAATAATATTTTTAATACTGTTAAGTAAAGTCTGGGCTTTTTATTTTCTTTTAGCAGATAAAACATCTCATGTGAAAATATCTTCGTCTTTGCTTCTCTACAGCAAATCAAGTAATCCAAAGTATTCAGATTACGTTACTCACTTTAAGTAATTTAATGGATTCTGTTACAAACTACATTTTGGTGTATGTAATCTGTAATCTGTAGGGGAATACATTTTAAAAGTCACCTTCCCAACACTGGAGACAATGCACATAAAAACATCGGCCTTCTCAAAGAGGTACTATGTTTGTGCCAGGTTATAACAAAATTGCTATTGCTTTATAAAAAAATGTCCACCTTCAATCATCAGACATGTTGATGTCATTAAAGTTCACTGTTAACAAACGGAACATGTGTCATCCAGTGTTGCTGTGCTCTAGAGCTGTGTGCCAGATATTGTGGTTTTCAAGTGACATTAAGTAAAAGGGCAGTTTCTTTCAAACGTCTTTATATTTAAAAACTCGACAGTGTTGATCAGGTCTCTGTGAGAGAGAGAAAACTTCTGAACATTCTGATGCATTCTAAAGTATTTGAAAGAGTCTGATCGCAAATTCAAGTAGTAACATCCAAATACTCACCAACAAACAGCATCAAAAGGGAACAGATGTTCATGTTGATCTGATGTCCTTGACACTTTAGATGGTCTCTGCAAACACTTTTCAATCTGCTTCACTCTTCACACACGTCATTTCCTTCCTTTCTTGGCTGCTTTCACACATCCCCATGCCACCCTCATGCTATCTCAGGCCAAAAAAAACAACAACATTTATTTATTTAAAAAAAAACAAGCACAGTAATAGGAGGAAAATTTTATACACATATATGCTGTTTTATTACGTTAAAATCTCAAACTCTTCTCAAACTGTGAGTGAGTGTCTAGAAAAGGGGCACAGAGTGTTTAGTGCAGTACAGTTTGCTTGGCTTTGTTGTAGGTTGGTCATTTTGACTTGGTCATTTTATAAGTTGGTCGCATGCTGAAAAAGTGTGGGCACTCCTGCTCTAATGCCTCCTCTATATGATGCAAAACTGACACGTCTTCATCTGGTTTGTGGTATATGCAACAAGAAACAGTTTTGCAGGGTCAAGGTTAATTGTGAAAAAGAGGCTTTCAAAGTTCTTGTGTTCTAAACTGACATGCCATTTATACTTCATACTACGTCCTAAGTATACAACCCCCTATTGTGAATATACTATCAGATACTGCAGTGGTTAAAAATGTCTCTGGGACAACAGTAAAGACCTCTAATATTGGTGAAGATTATGTTACTGTTTTTTGCATCTTACATTTCTTAGTGATTGCTTGATTTCCACAAAGACCTTTAAGTAGGCGGAGC